CTTCCTGGCCAGCGTTTGATAAGGCCCTAAGTCAGGATTGGGGGACTTTTACAATCCTTAGGTATTTCCTACTCCAGTGGTTCCCAGATTTTGATCCTCCAGCTGTTTTGGACTTCAGTTCCCAAAATTCTTGACTGTTGGCCAACCTGGCTAGGGCTTCTGAGAGTTGAGGTCGAAAACTCCTGGAGGACCAAAGGGTAGGAGCCACAGACCTACACTATTGAATGTATGTTATGAATGTGTAGCTCCAGTGGTGGCCAAGAAGCCATCTATGCTTGCATACAATACATTTTTATTTTCTGGAGTATAGTAATAGTAATACCTTATAGAATGTGTTTCTAAGGCATTAAAATAAGCCTAGTAATGTCTCAAAGATGTACTACAGAGCAGTATGTTTAAGAACAGAGTTTGAATGTCATCATTTTTTAAGTGCCTCTGAATCCATTTAAACCCATATTGTAATTCAAGCAACTTCTCTTTTTCTCCATCTCTTTCTAATTTAGCCGTGTATGTGTGCGTGTGTGTGAGAGGGTCTTTTGAATGAGTGGAATGTATTTTTCCCCCTCTGCACTCGTACAAGGGCCAAAGAAATGAATCTTGTTTATCTGCAGCAGTAAATGAATGACATTGTGTCTCCCGTTTCCTTACAGCCTTGCATTGTGTAAATAGGATGGCTTTCCTTTCTCCAAAAGGGGTGGGGGCCAGATCTCCTCCTGGTGGCATGGATGATGTGGGATTCGGCCACTTTTCACAAGAGGTTTCATTGTTTTGATTCATGACTAAGATGACTTGAACCTCTGGCTGGGACAGTCGGGTGCTGGCACAGTGCATCATCCCACAAGATTGTTGAATCTTAGGGCAGAACCAAAACAGAAGAGATTTCCCCTCCCCACCCCCATTATGCTCCCCCTCCCTTGAGTACAATTTTTTAAACAGAAGGAAATGATTTCATAGTTTGAGCCCTTTTCTCTTTTTAACAAGGCTGCTTTTGAAATAAAGTAACAGAGGACATAAAATTCTTTTTCCACACTGTGCCTCTTTCCTCTGAGGTTTACATAGAATTGATTTATATAGCATACTTTACATAGAATTGATTTATATAGCATACGTAGGCATGAAAATGGACCTTGGTCATTATAATAAGAAATTTTTATTTTTGAAATACTCTTTAGAAAAGAGCACTTGCCGGAACATAGTGGGTGCCACATACTTGTGCTTCAAGCAGACTGAAATCCTAAGCATATTTTTCTGGAACCAAGCCCCTCCAAAATCCCACTAAGTAAATTTGTTCAGGGCTGAGACACTGAAAGTCAGATGTTGCTAGACTGTTGTATGGAAATTCCCAGACAAATTTAAAAAAAAAAAACTTGATGTGTATTATCTGTGCTCCTTAGGAGTTGCTAACACACGGCTTTGCCATATGCGCCAGTGGTTGAGAAGAAGCCATATTCTCATTCATGAACCCACTAAGGATACAGGATAGAGGCAATGTAATGAGGCAAGATGGAGAAAGAATTGAATGCCATGGAGAGGGCATTTTCTGTGGCATTGCTATGGCAAACATAATGGCTGTATTTAAATGGCTGCATATGTTATATGTTAATGGCTGCATATCTTGATTCTGTGTAGCCTCTTTGCACAAGTGAGTGATCAGACCAGGAAGTCTTCCATTAAGTTTCTCATTTCACCCAAAGTGGGAAACAATGTTCCAGAACACACTGCAGAAATAATGTAGTTTGAGACCACTTTAACTGACCTGGTTCAGTGCTAGGGAATCCTGGGAATTGTCATTTGTTGTGGCACCAGAGCTCTCTGACAGAGAAGGCTAAATGTGTTACAACAGTTCTCAGCATTCCATAGCATTGAACCAGGGCAGTTAAAGCAGCATCAAACTGGATTATTTCTGCAGTATGTTTTGGACCAATAACTACCAGCTTCAAAACAAACCAGCATATTAAGCCGTGGCTTGTTCTGAAAAACCATTAACCAAAATATCCTGGTTCAGATTAAATGGGAGACTATAGATAACTGAATAGCAATATTCAATTCTTATTGAACTGCCATCTTTATTTCTGTTGCAAAGGGAGGAACATAAGATTGAGTGGAACTGTGAAAGCTTAGTCATGTCTTGTCTTATCCAGATGAGAGATGGCTGAACTTGCCTTATCTCTTCTTATGCAGAATGAAAAGTGATTTCACATCATTCACATAAAAAGTAAGCTCTTTGAGGACAGATTTGGATACTGCTTCAGTTTTAACCCACACAGATCCTGTGAAGTACTGCCAGGTAGAAAATAATAAATAAATACACTTTTTACTGTCCAATCCATGGAGAGAGTACTAAGGACACTGTTGAGATGGTGTAGTTCCTTTGCACTCTACTGAATTCGACTCCCTACTATGCTGTAGGGCACCTAGATTTTGAAAGATCAATGAGTTCTGAGTGGTTTTAAATTACCGATAAAGCAGATCATTGTTTGCACAGCTGTAGCTAAAATTCCTCGTAGAGTGGTTATGCCCAAGTATTTTGGGGGAGGGACAGGGGCAGAGAGGAAAAAAGAGGTAGTTTTGTCCATGTGTTATGTTTTTCATATTATACCCAAAGCTCCTGATCAAATGCTCACTTACTCATAGTTTTGTATTCTCTCTTGTCTTATTTGTCATAATTTCTACCATTAACAATGAACTTGATAGTATCCCTGTACCACCAAGGCCTCTTTTCCTGACAGCTACATTATGAAGTGACTGGCATAATTCCTATAGTCACAAATTGGTTCCCCTGTAAAAACAAAGTTTTATTTTTGAAGATCTTGTGACATCCTCTAAGGAATATTTCAATGCAGGCATACCTCGCTAATACAGCAGGTTAGGTTCAAGACCACCACTATAAAGAGAATATTGCCTTAAAGCAAATCACAGACTTTTAAAAAACTTGCCAGTGCATATAAAAGCCTAAAAACATATTATACTATCACTTATTAAGTGTGCAATAGCTCTAGGCCTAAAAAAAATTGGAA